TTCCTGTGGAGCTTTTTATTTCTTGCTTGCTGTGAGATCCCTTCTTGAAATCCAGAGACTGCCACAGGTGACCTGCGATTACAACAATTGCACTCAAGCAGCGTCTCGCGGACGCTCAATGGCCGCCGCGAACTTGCCATTCTGCGAGCCGCGGAGAGAGCAAAAGAAAGCGAACCCCGGCCATCCATGGGCAAGTCCCTTTTTCCCAGATGATTTCTAGCCAATTGAAAAAATGGCTTGCCACCATTTGAGCACTGTTCCTCAGGCAATATCACCACCATTATTGCCATTTCAACTGGGAGCTACATAATTCTCCCCGACCCCGCAATCCGAAACTGACAATGTTCCCAGAGTTAATTATCTTTGCTGAATTCCCAGTGTTTCAACAAAAAACAGCGCTGGGTTGGAGCCCGGGCCTACAACTGTTTCCTTCGCGCTCCACCATTGCACTTGATAAACACAATAATCTCGATACGAGGTCAATCGTAACCGTGCACCACATTCCCTGACTATTTGGCTGATGGGCGAGCAATGGGCTCCATCAATAAATCTCACGCTCGGAAAACCAGTTCAGGTCAGGCAGGACCTTGTCTCACAGCTAGCTTTGGGAACATGCGTCGCAGGCATACTTCTCGAGGATGAAGGTCAAAATACATCGTCCTTGCATGTTGAAAAGGGTTACATAGGACGTTTCTGCAAACGGCCCTTTTGTTTCTTTGCCGCGTCTCCCTCCGGTCCAGCACGGTTTGAGTTTCACAGTCTTCGGAATCTTCCAGGAGGGAAGCACGAGACCCCCAGGGGCCAGGCCAGGTGGAAGTGGGGAAGGACAAGCCCAGCTAGCCCAATGATCGACACTAGCAGACACTCTTTCGATCCTACCTAGGAGCAAGAACCGCCTTCACACATGATTCGGTCAGATGCAAAGTTGCGGGCGAGGGAAAGATCTCGCTGAGGGTAGTATTATTGACCGCCTCCACGATTCGCGCATCAACCTTGCCCCCCCCCTCCCTCGCACCGCACTTGGATGTGGCCAACGAGGTAAGAGGTATGTGAATCGGAGGGGGTTTGATTAGCCTCAGCGTCATTTCCAGTGGTGGATTGGTCATCAAATAATAATGCCTGGGTTATTACTATTGGCGCTACGGCTCCTCTGGCCAGCAATTTGCAAAACCATGGAGTCCCAAGCTCTTTCGTTGACAACTCCACAATTTCCGTTCATGCTCTTCACAAAATCTGGGGGATCGGCGGCCGTTCTCTTGAGATTATTAAATAATGATTTTATTCTCCTGGAACATTCCTAGCGGGCTTCTAGCCCTCGTGGTGGGCATCTGCTATAATCACGAGCCGAAAAGCTTTCTCAAGCAAACCTTCCACCAACTCGAAAAGGCAGGTATCCAGGAAGTGAGGTTCTCACTTGGAATCATCACCTTAATAGTAGGGAGTACTCTGGGGCTTTCAGAGCAGGAGGAAAGTAACTCAGACGTCATCAAGGGAATGCCTGCGCTGTTACTCAGATCTACTACAAGGTAAAGCCCTTGGCAGTGCCAGATGGGATCTTGAGAACATTGAAGAGAATCCTCATTGCGGTGCGCAGTCATGGTTCTCGAGATCGGAGGTGCGGTTCGTTAGAGTAGAAATCGAGAAATAAAAAATAAAACCGACACCAGCTGGATTCGAACCAGCGCTCCCGAAGGAACCAGATTTCTAGTCTGGCGCGTTAGACCGCTCCGCCATAGTGCCTTGGATGAAAGGATTGCCACAATCCTTATCCAAGTCGTCTACCCGTCAAAGCTGCAAGCGACAGTTGTTCCATCAGAATCAACCTCGAGATACTCAGATCACCAGTAACGGCCCTGCTCCTCCCAAACATCTCTCAAGAGCACATAAAAACTACATTACAGCCAAGACAGAAACGATGAAGAGCCCTCGAGCGGGCTCTGCAACCAGGCGCCCTGGAATGACGAACCGAGCATTGACCATGCCCTCTCCGCTTCGATAATATGGGGTACAGCAACGGCCAGGGGACACACTTTCTGAGGCCTGCATTGCAGCACCTCTTCGACCCGCTCCCACACTTATCACTTCCCTCTAAGTGGTGGAAAATGCCGAACGAGTTCTGCAAGCTTTTGTCGACTGGACACTCCCAGGCTGCCCTGGCCTGACGAGGGACCTGGGGACTCACTGGCCGGTTAGTTCGTTATTATTCGTGAACAAATTGTCCCTCCTGCATTACCCACGTCCTCCTTTCTGAAATGCCACGATGCGTACCCCTGCCTCGCAATATTGTTTAGTGAGCACTGACATCGATGGTGAGGTTCTTGGCCACGAAGCGGTATATCCCTGTCCCATGTGGTATATCTGCACAGTGCTATCAAACCTATACCCTATGTGGCTTGACTTAAGAGGATTAATCTCCGTGCCAACCCATCTCACTGCATCATGCCTTGGTTTCCCACTTGCTTCAAACCTAAAGCAAACTTTTACAATATCAAAATGTGGTGGCGTAACATGTCTCTGTTCGCCTCCTCGCCTGGTCGAGGTTCGCCTGGATAATACCGGGCCTAGAAGGGGAGTATTGTCCTCCATACCGGAGTCTATTTTGCCTGCAAGTCCTCAATTGACAAAAAAGGGGGGAATGTGGACGTTGTACTTGATGCTGACCTGGCAAGACGGTACCACGACCATGTACACATGCGCCTTGTAGGTTGCCTGTCGGCTGTTACATCGTGGCACGTACACATGCTGCACACGTGTGTTGGCCATTCAAAACGCTTTGACAAAATAAATCCTCCGTGTGCGGAGACGACCGCTGAGCATTCTCCACGATATTCAGGCTTCAGATGAAAATCTTGCTGGAGGGATTATACCTGTTGCCCAGGGATCCTTCCGGGTTGGTGTGGGTTTAGCAATTGAAACTTGCTCAATTCCGCCAGCCGGCTATGATTATTGGTGGCCCCCAGAATTTTTTTCTGGTGGGCCTGATACGTTTAATGCCGAAGCTCATCTGGGATTGGGAGATCTTATGCATATGATATTCCTCTTAATCCTTGGCAGCATGCACCACAGCAGAGAACAAACTAGTGATTATCTCGAGAGTTTGCTGAGCCTTCTTGCTAACTGATGGATGATATGTAAACCAACAAACAACAAGCTTTTTCAATAATCCAACGAACCTTTTGTGGATTCACCAAGCTTCAAATTACGGGATCGCCGGTATATCAAGAAAGTAGACGCAGGCCGGCCCTGATAGTGTTGGGTCCCATTTCGGCACCGGGAGGTAGCATTTGCGTCTAGAGTGTGCGTCGATCCAAGGGAATTTGAAACGAGATCTCGAACCCTGTGCTCGTACTGAACTCGAGAATCCTTTCTGTCTCGAGTTCATAATTCAATCCAGACAATTCATGTTGAGAATTAAAATAAACCGTCTATATGATCGTTCAATTTGGATGGCCTTTTTAGTTAAGATCGTCCCTGATATCGCTCGAAGGAGCAGATGGCAGTTCAACGACCCCAAGCTCGAGTTTCGAGCCGAAACGTTTTGTCAAAAGGGAATTTCCCATGCTGTTTCAACCACGTCTTGGTTTCGAAAATGAACTGCAAAGAACAAGAATACGGAGCATGAAAAACAAAAATCAAGGTGGCTGAAAACCCCCAAATAAACAAGTTTCTGTTTCTTGCCTGTTATGAAAGAAAATCCATCTGGAAATGAGCCCCCGTGAACCGCCATTTCTCGACAACTGGTGCATTACACGTGTGTCCTTACATTTCTGCATTGAGCCCAAAAAGTACGCCTTGTCCAAGTGCATGCGGTGAGTGCGAGCATGGCGTCCGATACAGTCCCGTTCGCAATTCGTCCAGCTACTGGTCCGATGAGCCGGTTGTTCTAAATCGGAGCACAAAATCCCCCTCTCGTGAATCGAAAATTATAGCCTTGATGACACTTTTTTTGGAAACTGTTAACTGCAAATGGTCTCTTTTGAGCCAGAACCCCGGAAAATGGGAAGCGAGCGAGGTTTTAAAGACGACTGAAGAAATGATTGAAGAATGATGATCTTTCCAATTTGTCTGATGTCATGGGGGAAAAGATGTGGTAAGTATGGAGAAATGCCCCCCAGGAACCTCCTCTTCGGAAGCGGTCTGATCGCAACTCTGTTATATTGTTGGGTTTTCTCGCATGGTCTCCTCTGCTTTTTATCTCCATTCCTATCGAGGAAACCCTGGCAATTACTCGCCCGTCGTCGTGCAAAGGCAACCATTTTCGAGCGCAAGGTGGGAGAGTCGTATACCGTATCTGGGGCGAATTATCGACGGAGATATTCTCTCGTCATATGCTGAGGATTCGTGATACGGTCGGTTGTATCGAGAATCTCAAAGTCCGGGGTATGCGCATCTCTCCATTTTAACCGGCATTCCCCTCGTCCCACGCAAAAAATTCCCCCATCGTGGCCCGTCCTGTCCATGTTCCTTCAGGAATGAAATCAGAAGTAGCCGGGAAGTGCTCCGGCGTCGGTGCTGAAATTGTAAACCAGACCACATTAGCCCTGTCGAATTATCACTGGCTTGCAGAGCAGTTTGCCAAAAGAAGAAACATGTGTGGTCATCTCTCGCAGTATATTATCTATGCACGATCAGAACAAGATTGCAGGGTCGGGTTCGACATGGGTTAAAATTTTGTTCAGGGAGACTTGCTAATAACGGTGATATTTTTCCTCTCTCCCGAACGAACCGGTTCCCACACACTTTTATTATTCATAGTTACCCGTTGGCAGTGTGAAAACGTGCCGTACTTCCAGGCTGGACCAGAAATAATGTAAACCAACTCGGACCCTTCAAGTTGGAAAAGCAAAAAAAAAAAAGAGGAGAAAAAGAAAAAAAAAAAGGAAAAAGTTCCGGAAAAAGCAAATATCCCATTTCCTTTTGATGCACAGCTAGTCATCGATCACCCGCTTTCTTCCCTGTGGACCAGAGGCTCTCGTGGAGTCATGGACGCCAAACACAATCAGCGCCATGGCTCGTATGCATGCAGCGATGTGAAGCCCTGGTCAAGCGTGACCTGGAGTAGCATCGGATATCCAGCAACGAACCTCTCCTCTCCCCCAACCACAGGTGTTTAATAAGAAGTAGTAATAATATGAGTCCTTAACAGACAAATCAAATATTGCATGTTTCTGCAGGAGGGCAAGGATATCATTTTTTCTGCTCAAAATCATTGAGGCGCACGGTATACCAATTTCTTGCCTGCGGAGAATATTTGCCCGGTAGAGTCCTCCGGGGACACATAGGCAATATCCAGCCTATACGATATTACGGTGAGTCCTGGCTTTCCGAGCGTAACCGGAAAGAAGGATAGATGTTGGGCAGAATCAAAACAATCTCAGGCAAATTGAGGCAATTTGCAGGTATTATTTTGGCGGCAGTGAGGTGCGAAGAGACGAGAGACATTTTCGAGGCCACATCGACGTCTTAAGCCTTGAGCATAGGGGCACGGGTTAGACTCTGCAACAAGGCTGCCGACAGGACCCTTTTACGACATGTCCCTAGTTAGCTCGTGAGTTAGTTACTGAAGAAATTTGCGAATTTCAAGCCGAGGTTCGAAAGCCAATCCCTCACAAGGATTGGCCATTCAAGAGTTCGAGATATGCTCTCAACGGACGACATGAGAAACTAGCCTTTTAACTTTGCGTGGGCAAAAACATTGTTTTCATTGTAAAATTCACAAATAGATAACAAGAGTTGAACAATACCCTTCCTTGAGCCACGGGGGATTCGGAACACTCATCGCCCTTGTACCTTGTCGATTGGGCGCGTGAGGCGTGGAATCCTGCCACCGAAGAGCTCTCTGGGCTGGGGGCAGCTCGTGCGGAAAATTAAAAAGGGAGCTTTGTTGGGGGAGTTTCTGCCACGATTCCTGAGACTGGGAGGACGGCGTGTTCGAAGATGGAACATCGAACAAGGTGAGCCCGGACTGTGCTTATGGCGATCAAAGTCAAATTCTCGCATGGTGAGATGGAATCATGCAGGGCTCGAAAGTAATGGATATGAGTTACGAGAGCGGTTGGGGATTGAGGGAGCAGAAAGCATGAGGCTCGCAAGCGTGCAAACTTTGAAGGTTGAACGCTCATGATCACAGAGTCCCTATATGGCAGACGTTAAGATGCATCCTGCAAGTTGTGTAGTTAGAGATCGGCATGCTATGGGAGTTGTCTCGACTTGGGCCGTATCACCATTATTGCTGAGACGCTGGTGATCAGCGCCCTCGGCCTTCTCTCGCAGACACGAGTTGCTGGATAAGCGAGAGGCTTCTGTGTATCACAAACGGCTCTCCTCAGTTTTCAACTATTATTAGCTGAAGATTTAGAGATAGTCAAGACCTCTGTAGCAATTGGTATCATTGTACGCTGTATTTCCGTCTCTGGATCGATGCTCAGATAAGTGTACTTGTGTAACTCCAAAATATCAAACAAAATTGAACCATGGCCGGATGCAATGCATCACCATAGACAGAAGGACAAGCACAGAGACGATGGAGAGCGGAATGCAATCACTTTCCCTTCCACTTTTTCGACGGCCTGGCATTCTTCTCCCTCCGCTTCTCCTTCACCACTCTTGCTTTCCTCACATCATCCACACTCCTGATCTCGCTCTTGACCTTCTTGGTACCCCCTTTGGATCCAAATTGCAACATTCCTGCCTCAGCTTGTTGCTTCTGCAGCTCGCTCTGCTTCTTTATTTTCTTCTCGTAATCACCTCTATACTTATCAGCCGTCTTGGGGGCCTGTTGCTTATTGTGCCTGAACCGCTTCCCTCCTGCTGGCACCGTAGACGACAAACCTGGGGTCTCTGCTTCACCTACCCGTGGCATGCGTCCAAGACGCTTTGATTTCTTCCATGCGTCGAAGCGGCCGCTACGGAAGCTTGCCGCAATCTTAGCTCCACTCTCGCCCCTGACGAGAAGCGCTCCCTTGGAACCGTCTTCATCATTTTGACGTGAGACGTATTTCTTGTGGCGTTTATCCCATCGCATGATAGAACGAGGCTCCGCAAAGCCGCGATTAGCTTCATCGCGCGATAAATCCATTGTTGCGTCTCTAGAAGCTTCCACGAAATTGCTATTGGAACCGGAATGAACCCCATAGGCACGTTCTTCAGCCATAGAGTGAGACGTAGGTGTATAGGACATGAAGTACTCTGGATTCTGGAATGAAGAGCCAGCTGGCTGTTTTCCAGAATCTCCCTTCTTTGCTTTGGATTTATCCGATGGGTAAGAAAACGTAACTTCGAGTTCAGAGTCAGACGCCAGGGACATATCAGCCACATCGTCTCCATTGGCATCATCGTCAAGATCATCCCCTTCGTTATCTTCATCTTCCAGCATAAAAGACTGGGTTGGACCATCCGCGTCAACTGTGGCCTGGTTTTCATTTTGCTTTTTGGCTCTCCTTTTTTCCACAGTTGAACGAATCTTCCTCATCATATCCATAGCTTCATCATCGCCGGCCTTTCCACCGCGTCGGCCACTGATTTCAAAAATTGTTTCTTGCGGCTTATATCCTCCGATACGGGCCAACATTTTCTCTCTTTCGACTTCCATCTGACTCGCTTCGTCGTTAAATAGTGGATGTAGCATTGTCCATTCGTCAGAACCAACAACATCTTTCGATCGTTTGGCACTTTCTGTAGATGCGGAATTGCGGGTTCGCATGTAGAGCTTTTCTCCTTTCATCGCAACCTCGCGCTGGCTTTGAATATCGATATCTTCATCTAGCAATTTGGAAACCCATTCGCAGTGCCGTGCCAGCCCGTCCCGGGCAATGCTTCCAACAACAACATCATCTGCAAAATTCGGTGCTTCCTTTGAGTTTCTTCCCATAATAAGTCGCCGGCCAAGGAATAGTTGTAAGTCGAGTAAATAGGGCGCGTCTGAATCTCGGACTAAGCTGTAGCTCCAACCTTTACGCCCCGCTCGAGCAGTTCGTCCAACTCGGTGGACAAAAATTTTTGCCTGAGAAGGAAAATCATAATTGATCACGTTGGCGAGGACGGGAATATCAATTCCTCGAGCAGCGACATCGGTAACGACCAGGATGTTCGAGATGCCGGCTCGAAAGTTGTTTACTTGAATTTTGCGAGCTGTCTGATCGAGAGATCCATATGCGTAGGCGACAGCAAACCCAGATTCTCGAAGAATGGAAGCTATGTAATCAACGTGGTGTTTTGTGGCCACGAAAACAATCGTGGAGTGCTCTGTTGGTGATTCCTGCGGGCTGGGATTATTCTGCTCTGAACGCTTCCTTTTCTTCGAGTGCTTCCCCGAGCTCGACTGTTCCTTTGCGCGTATACCGGCTTCCGTCTCACCAGTAGGGACTTTGATAACGTTATGGAGGATATGAAGAAGTGCGCCTTCTTTCTCGGCCGATTTCACAGTAAAAAAGGCGTTCTGAAGGTCAGGGGATATTTTACTTTCTGTATCCAGGCGGACAAGTGTAGGATCTTGCAAGCCTGCTCGTGCAAATTCAACCAAAGACTTTGGAAGGGTAGCGGAGAATAGTAGCGTTTGGCGAGACTGCGGAAGGCCGTGAAGAATTTCGGTGAGCTGCGCGGCGAAACCCATCTCAAACAGTCTGTCGGCCTCGTCAAACACAACATATTTGATACTGGACAGGTCTAAGTTCATTTCAACCTTGAGATGGAGGAAGCGGCCGGGAGTAGCGATGATAATATCTGGGTTCCCGGCCATGTATCCAAATTGCTCCTCTAAGCTATCACCACCAACCAAGAGTACACATTTGAGATCTGTTCCGCGACCCAGTTCCTTTACCACCTTGAGTGTTTGCAATGCCAGCTCTCTGGAAGGCGACATGATCAAGGCCCGCGATCCGATTTTCGAACTGTGGCTCTTCAACTTCTCGATCATTGGGATCACAAAGGCAGCAGTTTTCCCTGAGCCAGTCCGTGCCATGCCCACGACATCTTGCTCATCCAATACAAGCGGGATCGTCTTTCGCTGAATCGGGGTTGGAACCGAAAAGCCTTTGCGGGTAATGGATTTGAGAAGTGTTGCATTGAGGCCCATTGCCTGAAACCCTCCGCCCTTCTTCACCGTACGGCCCTTTAGATTGGATGCCTTGCGGTTCATCGACGCTTGGTGGGCTGCAATGAAGGCAGCATCATTGTCGGAACCACTATCGGCTCTCTCGTCGTGGTCGTCGGCCATGACATTGAGATTGAGCGGATGCGGCGCCTTGCGCTTCCGGGGTCCGGTGTCAATATCGGATTCGGCATCATCTTGAAAGAGGCTCTTTGCAATATCGAACTCATTTTCCGACATCGCTGGAGAGGCTGCTCGGTGCGGCATGTTTGTATGGAGTCGGGGGATCCTGGAGCGTCACTCCGGACCCTATGCTGCACGTACGGTCAAAACCTGGGAACTGCCGTGGGATTTCTGTAAAACAGCGTTAGTTAGACAGATAACGGCACCATACCCGGACCAACTAACCAGCTTGCCTTGCTGCACCGCCGTCTCTCTCAACGCTCCGTCTTCCTGCCTCTCGCTTCTTCTTCCTTTTCGAAATGTGAATTTTCGGGGGTTCGGATTAACATTGTTCCCCTAATTCCGCATAACTACCTTAGTTACATGATCCACCGACGCGCCCAAACACGTCGAAAACACGATTCAAGACGAGCTCAGGATAAGAAATTTGGGCCTTTCTTTGAGCTATATATTTTGCGAAGCAGGGCTGAAAGCACATATTAGATTACTATGGGCATGTTGCACCTGGAATACATGCAAGGTTAATGGGCTAATCGGCTCCTAGATTACACCTACGACAACCAATACCCTTCAGGCTCATATGGCCAGGGCGGCGCAGATGGCGGCGGCTTCATGAATGAAGTGGGAAGTAGTCAGAGTGGAAAGGTATTTTAGACGCCTTTCTCAGGATGGCGTATAAATCCTTTTCCTGTTTCCCGCGGTGGTTGACTTGAACGATGTCTTTTGCAGAAAGCCACCAAGGAGTCCCTCCGACCAGTAACGATTAAGCAGCTAAACGACGCAACGCAAGCCTATACAGATGCAGAATTCAAGATCGATGATACAGAAATCACACAAGTCTCATTCGTGGGCCAAGTCCGCAATATCTCCCAACTAAGCACCTTTACCACATACAAACTGGACGATGGGACGGGCGAGATCGAAGTGAAGCGATGGTTAGACCGAAGTGACGGCATGCAGGCAGATCCCATGGACACGGATAGCGCCGCGACAAAAAGGCCCGACAAGAACCAAATTGTGACGAATGGATACGTCAAAGTCTGGGGGAAGCTGAGTTCGTATAGCAACAATCGCCGATCAGTCACAGCGGTTGTAATTCGGCCTCTGACGAGTATGGATGAATACCACTGCCATTTCCTTGAAGCTACGTCGATACACCTTTATTTTACGCGGGGCCCGCCTCCAAATAAAGACAAACCCGAAGCTGGGAAGGGCCAAGGCTCGGGTATGACTGTCACTGGTAAACCTCTTCCGGCGTTGTCGCCCATGGGCACGAAATTATATGAGGCTCTCAGCAATACCTTACAAAGCAGAGAAGGACTACACGTACAGCAACTGGCGTCGATGCTCAATGCGTCGACGAGCGATGTCCGCAAAACTTGTGATGAGTTAGCGGAGCAGGGCTTGATCTTTACCACGGTGGATGAGTTTACATGGGCTGTCATGGAGTTTTAGTCGTGTTAGACTGGCAACTGCATCTACTTGACTGGAGAAGGGATGAGCCTTGGGTTTCTGCTGAAAGCCGACAAGGACCACTTGACAACTGGTAACGGAAAGTATTTGCATATTCCACCAACTTATGAAATGAAGCACGTTAGATCCCTGGGCTTGAAGCTCAAATATGTAAATTAATTCATTGTAGTTAGCGCAAGTCTGATTCTCGTTCAAAAAAGTTCGGGTCGTCGGTTTTCGGGCCGAGAAGTCAAAGTTGCTCAACAGCATTTCTGTTCGCTTCTGGTGGGATGCACATCTGAGATGCACACGCTTTCTTGATTCCCGCTGAAGGCTTTTCTGCTTTGTGGCTGTTAGATTCTCAATCGAATAACTAGCTAACCAATAGTTACTATATAACTACCGCACATTCCCGCCGGATCCCACAGAAAAGCCGCCGTCGCATCGTCGTTGGCGGGGTTGAGAACCGCGGAGCACGGGGCAACAAGCCAAAGGGCGTCGTCGACCTTGGAGAAAGATAAATCTGCCAGACGGCGTCCAGTCTTGCTCTTTGAAGTGAAAGGAGAAACACAATACGTCCCATGGCTGGCCTATCCGCCGCATTGCACGCCCCCAACCGCGGGGCCGCACCGCAGTCGCAACCGCGGTCTTCTCTCCCAGCATCCAAGCCGGATTCAGCAACCTGCTATCCAGACACCCACGATCATACCAGCGACAAGGCCTCTCTGCCTTCGCTATCCCGTGTCTCCGCGTCCCTCCACGCAAAAATCCAAAACTTCCTCGCCGAATCGCACGACCCGTCCTCCCTCCTGTACCGCGTCCAACAGCAGACTCGAATCTCTCTCTCCGTGGTCCGGGAAGCCTTATCACGCTATAAACTCCGCGAGCTCTCACTCTCCTACAACGGCGGAAAGGACTGCCTGGTTCTTCTAATTCTATTCCTCGCCAGCCTCCACCCCCTCCCGGAACCTTCACCCCTCAAACCCCTACAAGCCAAAGACAACGCCGAACCCCCCAAAATCCGAAATGCAGACGACACTATCACAGCCCCCATAGAAACCCCGGACGATCCGCCCACCTCCATTCCCGCCATGTACGCCCGCCCCTCCCACCCGTTCCCCGCCGTTGAATCCTTCGTCGACTCCTCCTCCCTCATCTACCACCTTTCCCTAACCCGCTACACCACCGACCCACCACACACCACCCTCCGCGACACATTCGCCTCCTATCTCCACAAATACCCCGGCATCAAGGCCATATTTGTCGGGACCCGTCGCACCGACCCGCACGGCGAGAACCTCACCCATTTCGACCGTACGGATCATGGATGGCCCGATTTCATGCGCATCCATCCCGTCATTGATTGGCATTATGTGGAAATCTGGGCTTTCATTAGGCATCTGGGCGTGGAATATTGTCCGCTCTATGATCAGGGTTACACGAGTTTGGGGGGAACAAATGACACGCACCCTAATCCGAAGTTGCAGGTGGAGAGTGGCCGATCTACCGCAGAAAACTATCGTGCACACGAGGGTCCATCGTTCAGACCTGCGTACGAGCTGGTCGAGGACCAGGAGGAGAGGCTGGGAAGATACTGACAGGAGTCAAAGATCACTCTCCAGCATCGTTTCACTAGAATTCGCCCCCCTGCCGCTGCAGTCTACATATATGTTTTATGATTCTTTGCTATAGAATCATAAGGATAATAGTTTTGGGAGAACAGAGCTATCATTCTATGCGTTTTGACATAGAAACTTAATAGACCATTTGCTGTAGATAGATTGATTCGGAGATTTGATTCGGATTGTGTTTCTCGGTTATCACTATTATTCTCAAATAAATAGCATACTGCAAAATACGCATTGATAAACGTGGCCGAATAATCGTGTATTTCTACATGACTATGGATTAGAATCTAGACAACTGAATCTGTTATCGACTCCACCAGATTCTAATTTGAGCAAGTACATACATAAGGCAAGTCATAAGCATATCATCATAATAGTCGTAACGCCACTTTTCGCCTTTTCCCGTTTCCCCTTACATAACCATGCACATGAATAACTGATAAATGGAATAAGTAAGTTCACTGCAATAACTTGGTAACATCATTCGCGAGAATGCTCCGAACGCAATAGATATACGAATGGTAGAGATGTGCAATCGAATATAAAAAAGAAATGGAATAAGTTCGTATTTCATGCCTAGAGTCGACAGTCAACTTTGTCGTACGACGCATCGTATCAGGGAGCAATTTCATGCTTTCCAAACGTTCTTAGTTGCAAGATTTTGGAGTGGAAAATCTGATCTCACTTGCGGAGGGGGTGGGCGAGCCAGCATCAGCCATACCCTTGCCCTTTTGAGGGCTACAATTTTCAGATTTACTGCCCTGAAGGGAAGAAACAGGCATCACAGTCTTCGTGGACCCAGCAGAGAGGGAGCCTCGGCTGGCGGAAACAAACCGCCCCCGGGCGCTTGGTGTATTTTCGATATTAGTCAGTACAGCACGCCCTGGCCACGAGCTGATGCGCATGCTGTTAACGGACCTATTCAACATAGGGCCCCTAACGACCATGTTAGCGATAAATCTTGCTGTTGGATTCGAGTGATATAACTTACGGTGGAGAAATCGAAGTTGCAGGAGTCCAAACCTGTCCAACTCCAATCGGCGAAGCGTAGCTGCTCTGAGAATTGGGACTGAAATGTGATGCAGCCTGCTGCAAACGATGGAGGCTGGGCGAAGGAGTCGAGCCTTGTACCATTTCAACTGAGTAGCTATACTCACCCGCTCGATAAGCTCGACGCTCGTTGCTTTGATGTTTCAGTTGCTTTTGTGCCTTTGTGTCCGCAAAACGAAGCATGAGCTTCACACCATCCTTTGGCATTAACATTATGGAAAGCCATCAGAACCTTTTCCGCAATCTCGCGAGTTTCAAACCTGGTAGGTAGATATTCGCATTAGCTGGGATGAAAAGAATTCCGGCATGGCAAGCCATATCTGTTCTCACCTTGCGAAACCAACCTCCTTACTGATACCAGTATTTTCGTCACGGCTAATTTTCTCGGATATTACACGATACGGTTCAAAATGTCGACGAAGGTCCTAAAATGAGCATGTTAACACACACTGCGAGGAGCCTTAGGCGGCTCGAATGGTATTGCTTCCGGCAAATGTATACACGAGGGATGGCTCACAGCTTCCACCCATTCAATTGGAACATTGGTGCAGTAAATGTTGGTAGACGCTTTATCCTCCAAGTCTTTGAGGCGAGAGTTAAAAAGATTTCTGTAAAAATATCAGCACCAAGTTATCTACGAACGATGAAGGTGAAATGTACTTGTGCGAAACTCGCCTGGTATCCAAGATGAAAGAAGCCGCGGATGCAATTTTCACACGACTCAAAGCTAAAGAACTGCACAAAGCCAAACCTTTTCAACTGTTAGAATGTTATAAAGACCATCATATTTCAAAAGTCACTCACCCCTTGCATAGACCGGTGTCAAGGTCAACGATCGCCTTGCATCGATCAATTTTCCCAAATCGCGAAGCATATGCATATAGCATTTCGTCTGTAGTTTCCGGAAGAAAGCCACGAATATATACGTTGGTGATCCCCTCGCGATTTTCCAAGCACTTTGCAAGAGTGAGTTCTGATGGGTTGGTCCACATGGCAGGCACGGCTTGTGGAATGGGAGGCTCCTGCTTCACCAACGCGTCGAGATCTTGAAGAACATAACCCCCTGCAGCTCTCATCATCTGGTAAGACAAACAAGCTCCGGGAGTTTGGGGAGCGGCGGTATACATTGGAGCGCCAACTGGTGAGCGGTGAACAGAAGCCATGACAGGATAATACTCCGTCTGCCCAGGCTGCCCAATTCCATCAATAATACCATTTGTGGGAATCTTCTCGTCAGGGGACCAGTCTCTGGGGGCTTTGGTATGGTCATGCTCAGAATTCAGGGCATCTGGCCAAGAGTACCCAGGGTAGAAGGTAGGTGGATAAGGGCCATTGGTGACAAAGCCAGGATAAACGCTAGCAGGCACATATTGGAAGGGGCCTGCTTGGTCAGTCGGGATTTGCCCATAATGATGGACGGGGGGAATAGTGCCCCGAAACACTGGCGGGTTTGAGACAACAACAAATGGCCCATGCTGGGGACGATGGATTCCTGACATATCACCATTTGCACCGGAGGTAACCGGGGTGCTGCCCTTGGCTGGACCATAATTTGAACGTTGACCGTGAATGTTCAGGCTAGCAAAGGCCTGAGAGAGTCCGTTCATATCTCTTGTTTGATTAGCGGGATTTTGATGCTGGCCATAGCACTGCTGAGGCATATACGGATGGCCCATTTCATTTTCCTTATAAAGAAGGCTATTTCCCTGCTGTTGGGCAGACTCGTTGATATTGTTCTGAGGTTGACTTTGCTGATTCATGGCTCCAGGGTCCTACTATAAAAGATGCCTATAATCAGTAACGAGAATTAGGTAGTAGATAATAATAACGAGGCAAGCCAGATAGGTTATAGGAGGTGTTTTGCAGATAACTTGAATTGGCCGACAGGCCATTCCAAGAGTAATAATAGCAAAAGAAGTATACCACCTACCGTAAGATCAACGAAGACGAATTTCTCGGGAACTGAGCCCTTGATCAGGTCCTCAAACCTATCAAAGGAGACCATGTCAGCCTGACATTCTAGCTTCGCTAGAAGGAAAAGCACAACGCTATAACTTACAAAGCTCCTTCTTGACGACGAACGAGAAACTGAAGAGAGCGGGCTTTCGAGGATGGGAGTTGGGAAACGAGCTGACGTGGCAGAAATGGATATAAATGGACGGGCACACTATCAGCGAATGCAGAATAGAGGTAGCAAAGGATGGATAGACAAGTGAGCAGAGAGATAGAGAGAATAGCAGTGTAAATGAAGCGGATAACTCGAAGCTCGACGAGCGGGAAACGAGGGAGAAGTGCTACGATGGAGAGATGTTGGAGAGGTAGATAGGGAAGACAGAGGAGGGCAGGCGGATGAAGAGGAAGAAATGGACTTGAAATAAGCTCGTCGTCCGAAAGAGGGAAGTGAAGATGGAGCCGGGTGCGGTAGGAAAGAGCGGCCGTTGTCAAGGAAGGAAGACCGCCAGATCAGACAAGAACAGCCCAGTGACGAAGAAGGCGGGGTAGCCAGATAATGGAAAGTGTGAATAGGCGACGTGTTATGCCTGCCATTGACAGTGAACACCAGCTGTGAATGTGTTCCGGGCAGTCTGCGCCGAGACGAACTGGCCCATTCTGGTAGTTTGGACGGCGAGTCAGCAGTCATTTACACCTCCACAGAACACACTGCACTTCACTTCACTTGTCAGCTCTAGAGGCCTATCAGAAGAGGCGCAATTCTCTGTTAAGCTTCATTTCCGATGACAGCCCCCTCATTTGTCTCCAGGATGAGAGCTGCTTTTCCTGGTGCAGGCCAGGTAACTAGGATGGCCATTTGGCCACATTATATGCACTTCCATTCCTCAAAAGGAGGAGCGATGACAATAACAAGAGATATCATGCATTGGAAGTCCAGCTGCAGAACAGAAGCAGGATATGGGTGTTGTTGCTATTCCCTTGATAGGAATAGCGTGAACTAGTATTCCAGAGACCTTCCACATGTCAAAGTTGACATTTTGGTGGGAAAACTAGTTCTGAGAGAGATAAAACGGCCTTGTTGCTGTCAAAGGAAAAAGAGAATGCATTCCGCACGCAAAGGCAAGCCAAATGGTTTTCATGAAATCATGTCCGGAACTCCTTCCAGTGTCCGGATAAATCGGAGACCTCGAAGCCAGGAGGGATTAGCCGAGACTAGCCGCCCGCAACGGCGATGCGCGGAACCGCAGGATTAATGTGATTAGATCTTTGGCATGCCAAAATCTTTGCATCTTCTGTCGGCTACTGGAAAGAGATAATAGTGGGCACTGAATATGTGAGACAGGATTTTTCAGTTGTAACTAACTATAGAATACATGGCTGAATGACTCTCTTTACACTCGTCGTCAATCGTAACTAGTCTAATAAAACTCCCAACTCGAGCAAACATTAACCAAAATTCCAAAACATATGGATAGATCCATATTCGCCAAGGATAAAAGGCGGGAAAAAAGCATTATTATAATCGCTGTTTTGAGTAAACAGAAAGGGCTGCAGTGCATGCCTACGCCATATAGTTCTATGTAAAACGAACCCACAGGGTTGAACCGAAGAGGACGCATTCTCTCCAAGCAGGGAAATGAACGCTCCTCAGGCCGAAAGGGAAACGGGGGGAAGGGAATAGAAAGAAAAAAAGTCGACAAAAAAAGGAACTTGTAACTCCCTCTCATGACCACACATCTTCTTGATACATTCCCATGTTGCGCATGTTCTTGACAAGCTCCTCGCCCTTTTCAGGAGGAAGACCACGCTGTTCAGAAATGATCTGCGCGAGGATGGCGTTGACTTCACGAGCCATATTGGCAGCATCTCCACAGACGTAGAATGTGGCCTTGTCTTTGAGCAGGTCATTGACCAAGGCGGCGTTTTCTCGGAGTCGGTGTTGCACATACACTTTCTTGTCGGTCTCCCGGAGAGAAAGCAGTGAATAGCTTGAAGTTGTCGCCGAGCTTCTCGGATACAGCCTGCGGCAAGAGAAAGGATTTTTGTTAGCAAGCTGGGCCAGAGGAACGAGCGCGGAATTAAACCTTCTCGGTGGGGTGCGGATGGGGGCCAGCCACGTGACAACTTTAGCTCCCTCTCATCCTTGTACAGGAGATCCTCGATTGCGGTTGCTGCGACCGAAAGAAAAGTAAGCAGTAAGGGACCCACT